GCCATACCAACAAACTAACTTTACAACAATTTTTAACAACTGAAACAAAAAAAAACAAGCATCATTAAATAAATTTCTGGTTTTACAGCGATATGATCACCGATCGCAGCCAAGACCAACAAGTGAAAAAACTGGAGTGAAATGAAGGAAATTAAATAAAGAAATACTTAAGCTTGACTGACTGTCGTAATATACATACATATGTATGTATGTACATGCATGCACGTACATACAATAAATACTTAACTATACAGAGATGCCCGTGAGTACACACAATCCTAATCAAAAATCAAAACATGACAATCTACGAACATGATCATGTATCAACGGCGGTCAACAGCGGATCAACATCGCAACAACAAAACGACACAAAGCAGTAACACATAGCAACATGGCGCGCAACATAGCAACTACATAGGTTTTAGCAACAGCAACAGTTGCTGACATGCTGACAAACCATTTTCAAAGTGAAAAGCCAAGCAGCCGGCAGCCCGGCAAACTAAACAGCTTTTCTTCCACATACGTATGTAGGGTACATGCATACGTACATATGTAAGTACTCACGTGTGCGTTGCCTTAGTGGTTCAATCACGACCATTCGAATTGCCATAAAAATGCCGGTCAAAATAAAAGCGCTTAAATCCGCTAAGAGAAAAATAAACTTGACACACTTTTTAATTGCAAATCCAACGCGCATGAATACCGCCTTGTCATCGAAAGCGACGCGATCGACTGAGCATTATCAACCGATTTCCCGGCCCAAAACACACCCGCTAACGTATGTAGGCTTGCAGACCGATTTGGCCATGACAGTGATACATACGTCGCGCCGCCATCCGCCGCTGTGAGCTACTGCAATCAGCAACTACACCGTTGTGTGGTGCCAAGTGTGTTGACAGCTTTGTGGCGTTTAAGCCGCTTTCTCAGGCGCACATACATAGCTTCATTAATTTAAAAGTATGTAGTACGTACTCCTTATATCCTGCTGATTGATCTTACCACTGCTGTATTTTTACCTCCCACTGTTTTATACTACATGTATGTATTAGGGATGTTAATTTTTCAGCTTTTTCCGATCCCGAGATTTTCGGTATGTCGTTATCACAATCCCGGGATTTAGATATTCATTACTTTTCAACAACTTCAATTGAAAAAATTGCTTCTATATTGTTTGAGAAGCTCTCCTACTATAAAATAAATAATAAATAAATGGGCCCGAAACCTAAATTTTTACTTAAAGTGGCGTTTTTGCATTTTTTTTCTCTGATGTCAGTATTTATTTTAAAGGACTTTGTAATTTCAAAGATATGATTAATTCCAAAAATTTATTTAAAAAATTCAATGCAATGTAGAATAAAAATATGGGTACCAAATGCAAGAGGAAATTTCCTTAGAATTTAAAAAAATTTACATTCTTTTGGATTCACAAGGAAAAATAGGTAATTTTTTAAGCTGATAAAGTTAGTAGGACGAAATTCGAGGGTGCTACCGAGTTCATATGAGTCCTTAACATATAATTTTTTCAAAAACAAATATTGCGAAATTTCAAGGATAAAATTTTAAAACGACAGTTTCAATACTTACCAGTCCTTCTGCACCGAAAACTTGAACCTGTTTAAATAAAGGATTTCCTCTTTAATTTGATACCCATACTTCTTCTCTAAGCACATTTTTCAAAATTTTTTAAATCATTTTTGAATTACTGACGTCAGAGTGAAAAACTATTAACGCAATTTTGCTATATTTAGCCCATGGTTTCGCGAATATATTGACATTTGTATTTAATATTTACATCGCGCGGTCTTATATAGTATATAATGAACTAGACATATCTAAAAAAATATTAATTATTAAATAAAAAAAGAAATATAGCCAATAGTCAAGAAAAGGAGTTTCTATTATTGCCATCAGTGCAATTTACAAATCCCGAAAATCCCGGGATTATTTGACAAGAATTCCGGGATTTTTGGGACCTTAAAAATGCCGGGATCCCGGGATTAACATTCCTAGTATGTATGTATGTACATATACCTATATTTGCTAAATGTGAACTTACCCTCAATTCGTCTGGCTGCATAAAGTGTACAATTTTTACGGCGTCGCGATCCGCTTCGGACACACAAAACGCTTTCTCGTTATGCAACAAATCATAGACAACGCGCAGCACTTTCCAATCATCGGCCAGATTAAGACGTATCTTATCAATCTCATCGGCTGTAGTTTTTGTTATCGTTGCCCTGTTGGACATGTTTGTTGTGATGGTTTTTGTGTTTGAGTTGGGTTGTTTGTTGTGGTTGATTAACTTTAGTTTGCACTAATCGTTAGTTAAGACTCTGCAGATGTCGATTTGTTGATTTGTTGAAAATTTCACCGCGGTCAAAAAAAAACACGGATAGAAAAGGAAATACAAGTTTTCTGGGAATACAATGCAAATTGTGACAATTAAAGTAATAATAACAATTAACTTTTTAATAGACGTAGTTGTTTGAATTTGTCTGGTTCATTAACTATCCTCCCAGGCTCTTTGTCTTAGAATATGCATACGTACACTGAGAAAAAAAACGCGTTGTAAAAATAAAAAAAGTTTATTTGATTACCGTTTAAAAATATTCGTTTTTAAATCAAGTGAAAAGTCTTAACAAAATTGATTTTTTCATTATACATACACTACGTATAATGGAAATATTCAAATTAAATACGCCCGTATTAAAATGAAGCATTTTCACTGCACGAAAGCATATATGTATACAAAGCATGCAAAGCGGTGACAACACATACATACATACATATGTACATACATGGTACGACATCATGCACTAATCGCGCGCTGTGATGTTGATTCAAACTCAACATTTGAAAACACATTTACATGTATGGCTGTAGCTGAGTGTGCAAAGACGCTTGATACAATTGGTTGCTACCAAGAGCGTACGGGTTTAATTACCATCAGACGGAACATAAAATTCAATTTTTTTCTTCTTAATTTTAATTTCGTATAACGAAAAAGCATCTGTGCACTTCGCAACGACATATTTTATAACGTACATACTCAAATTTAAAACGAGTTGGATTGGTGCTCTTTCATATGCGTATTTTTCTAAATTTAGCACGTTTTTTTTTTTACTTCTAAAATTTTTTTCCCTCAGTGTAGAAGTAAATTTTTGAGGTGAGATCGAAATAAGAACGATATAAAAAAATGAAAATAACGTTCATGGTATTATACAAAATACATGCCCCATTATTTGAGGTAAAACTATGTTCACATTACCAACATAAAATACTTAGTTTCGTTTAAAATACCTCACTAAATTAAGTGCGTTCATACACGCGATTCTTTATTTGTCTTGACAGCTTTGTAGCAACCCTGTGTTATTGTTTATTTAACCAAAAGAGATCGCGAATGTGAGTAATTGCGTATATTTTTATATCCTGAGTCGTTTGTGGTAATTTTTTAGATTTTAGATGAGTGATCAAAAGAGAAAGCTTCTGGAAATATTTTACAAACTACCACGCGCGATTATTAAAAACAAAAACGTCCAAACACAATAACATATCAGTTATGGGACAATACTTTTTTCGATTATTATCGATAAAATTAGAGCCGACACTGATTTGTTCGTGATTTGGTTCTTGGTTTAAGATAAACTACGTACTTTCAACTTAATTTACTGAGAGACTTTACAAGGCGAAATTACTTAGTTTATACTTAATTTATGCGTAAATTAAGATTGACCTCTAAATTACGCTAATGGGAACATAGTTTAAAGAATACTAAAGGGTAGGCGCTCGAAGTGTTGTCAATTAAAAATGGTATAATTTTGTAAATTTTTTAAACATCAATTCATCATAAAAACTAGCAAAAGTTTATGAAAAAATAAATACCTACATACTATGTAGTAAAATTTTATGAAACTAGTAAAATTTCATGAAACTAGTAAAATTTTATGAAAAGTGGGTCTTTTTTATGCGGATTTGAATTTATGCGGTTTCTCAAAGCATTTTTTCGCTGTAGCGATTTAGCTTTTTTGAGAGTTGTTATTACCTTCTTCAAGGTGTAACACCGGGGACATACATTTGGTATTTCTTCGTAGCATTTCCAAAGTACCATATGTCTGTCACCAAATATTATAATATTCTTCAAAATACTACGTCAGCAACCTTGTATTTTTGTAGAGAGAATACAACTATCCGAAGATTGTAGTTTTGTGGCATTCTCATTGCGAATGGGCATTTCGCACTGAACATACCCAAAAATGACAGATGTCAACTGCTCATTTATCAAAAATTCATTGAAATTTTCGCGCGATCGAAGCCCAAAGTTAATAAAGCAAATTTTGATGCAATATATAAGCAAATTTTTTAATTTTTATGTATATGTGTTGTTATAAACATTAAAATGCAAAAATTGCTTATATATTGCATCAAAACCTGCGACTGCAGTCGACAATGGGCGCAAATGGATTGAACGGTAAACTAATAAATAAATTTATAGTTCAATTGTTTATTAGTTTGTCTTTAGGTTTGTGTCTTCTAAGCGTATATCGAAAGTGTTGTATCACAGAACCAATCTGAGATTATTCATAAAACTATAGACCGGTTTGGTGAAGAGCCAAGACATTTACTTCGTAATGAATTACAGCAGATGGCAGAAAAGACATAGCGCGAATAAATTTCTATAATAAAAATAGCACATTAGAGGCTGCTAATATATATATTTTAAATTATAGTTAAATCATTAGTTAAACTTTACTACAGAAATATTACACAGAATTTTCTGTAGTTAAGTTTAACTAATGATTTAACTTTACTTTAAAATAGATAAGTTAATTGCCCTTAATGAATTTTTTTTTATTTATTACACGGTGTGACAAAACAAAATCAAGTAATATATTTAGCATAAATGAATATACCAGCATAAAAAATCTGCATACTCAAAATGTTCAATACGTTCTCATATTTTTTACATACGTATGTATATAATTTAAGAGAAGATATTTCGCTGCAAAGCAACGATTATAAATTGTTAGTTTGCCTTACAAAATTGCGGAGGAACATGCCTCGTATGATACCCTCTTCTTTTGATGACGATCACGGCAAACATAGGAAGGATTATGATTTGAGGGTGTGCACCTGGAATATCCAAACCCTTAATCGGGAAGGTACTTTTGCCCGGCTGGTTGATGTCCTAGGGAAAATAAAGGCTGACGTCACCGCCATCCATGAAATTGCGATGGACGGGGCGGGGCGAGCAAGGTAAGAGTGGGGAATTACGACGTCTACTACAGTTGCCACGTAAAGAAGCGCAAGCCGGTGTTGGATTAGTGGTGTGAGAGAGACCGCCGTTCACTCTAGTGGACGAACGTCTAGCCACAATCCGCATCAAAGCGAGATTCTTCAACATCTCGCTCATATGTGCCAATGCCCCGATGGAAGAGAAGGACGAGGCATCCAAGGATCTTTTAACTTAGAGCGTACATATAAGCGCTGCCCCGACACGTAAAAAAATCGTGCTTGGCGATTTAAATGCCAAGGTGGGCAACGAAGTAATCTTTGGCGCCTTTGTCGGAAAATTCAGCCTCCCCACAGAAACACCGGGGTGCTGAAACTTGGCAGTATGTAGTACCGGGTTCTAGCATAAAAAGATCCATCAAGCTACATGGGTGTCTCCAGATCGAAAAATAGGAAATCAAATCGAGCATGTTGTGATAGACGGACGGTATGCTTCCAGTGTTTTAGATGTACATACGTACACTCCGAGGGCCAAACATCGACTCGCACCACTATATTGATGCAGCCAATATACGACCCCACCTCGGTGCAGCAAAAAAAGGGGCCCCAATAATGCAAGGAAAGTTCAACGTCGAAAAGCTGCAATCAAAACAGACGGCCAATGGATTCGCCGCTCGACTCTCACACCTGCTGTGAGAGAGCACTCTTCAACAAACCGACATACGCGAGCAGTGGAACTACATTTCCCGCTCGTTACTGGTACGATGAGGAGTGTCAAGAAGCTGCAGACAAAAATGCTTGAAATGCAGGCCGACAAAAAAACACCCGAAATTTTTAGCAGAGAGTTGAGCGACTTACGGAAGGTTTCAAGACTCCTGTAGGAACAACCATGGTGACCTAGTGACCGATGTCCAGAACGTACTCAAATTATGGAGGGAGCACTTTTCGACCCTTTTGAATGGCGGAAACACTGAAAGAAGTGGATAACACGAACCCGAGTCCCCAGTCGATGCCGATGGAGTCGATATCCCAGCGCCTGATTATGACGAGGTACGAATAGCGATTATGCTGATGAAAAGTAACAAGGCTGCTTTAGCTGACGGCCAGTCAGCTGAGCTATTCAATTACGATGGAAAGGAGCTAATAATATGCGTGCCCGACGACTGGAATTCAAGTGCGCTCTGCCCAATCCACAAGAAAGGCTACCACGCGTGCCAACTACCGCGGGATCAGCCTTCTAAGCATAGGATGCAAGGTCTTATCGAATATATTGTGTGAAAGACTGAATTCCACCGTCAATGAACTGATTGGACCTTATCAGTACGGCTCTAGACCTGGCAACCCATCATAGACCAGGTATTCACAATACGCCAAATTTTGTAAAAGACCCCCGAGAAAAAGATGGACCCTCACCACCTATTTATTTGTCGACTTTAAAGCCGCTTTCGACAACACTAAAAGGAGTTGCCTATACGCCGCTATGTCTGAATTCGGGCTCCCCTCAAAACTCATACGGCTGTGTAAAATGACGTTGAGCAATACCACCAGCTCTGCCAGAAACGCCTCCAAACGGGGTTTCAGAAACGGTGACTTTCTTTCATGTGACTTTTTTAATCTGATATTGGAGAAGATAATAAGAGCTGTAGAAGTGAACCGCTCAGGGACAATTTACTACAAGACGGTACAATTGTTGGCTTATGCCGATGACACTGACATCATCGGTAAGAAAAACCGCGAAGTCTTTTCTGCCTTTTCCAAGTTGGACAAGTAAGCAAAGCGAATGGGTTTGGTGGTAAACGAGGACAAGACGAAGTATCTCCTGTCATCAAACAAACAATCAGCACATTCCCGCCTTGGCACCCACGTCACTGTGACAGTTATAATTTGGAGAAAGTAGAGAATTTCGTTTACTTGGGAACCAGTATTACTGTGGTTTCGCGAATATATACATAGATTTTTGTGTGTAAAATTTACTATCGCACGGTGTTTTATGTACAGCGTGGCGACGAATAACTGTTACCCAGGTTTTTTTGAGAAATAAAAGGGTCCTTTATAGATTTTACATGAAAGAAGTATTTTATTGTTAATTTTCCACCGATTTTACTTTAGTTGTATTAAATAGTTTTTAAGTTTTAATCCTTA